TATACTCAAGATTTGAACTTTTGTCACAATAATTGTTGTCCTTCCAGGGAATTTTTAGGCAATTGCAAATAAATATGAATGTACATTCTTAGATTTAGACTTTGATATTTCACACTTTTATAAGTATTGTCGAATTACCTTCAGAAAAATTGTACCATTTTTCATTCAAACCACCAAGAGATTCTTCTCCATCTTTCACCAAAGCTGAGTCTTCATTGTATTTAATTAATTAATTTAGTTATTTATTTTTGTCTTTTTGAGACAGGGTCTTGCTATGCAGTCCAGGCTGGCCTTGAGCTCACTTTGTAGCCAGACTGGTCTTGAATTTGCAATAATCTTCCTGCCTCAGCCTCCTGAGTGCTGGGATTACAGGCATGTACCACCACATCTGGTTTTAGCTGTGTCTTTATTCAAGATACTTAGCTAATGTTGCAGTTGGATGTAGTGATAAGCTGAAATTGTATCAATTTTCAGAGAAATTCTTTTTTTTTTCTGGTACCGGGAATCCAACTCACAACCTCACGCTTGCCAGGCAGGTGCTGTGCCACTGAGCTAAATCCCCAGCCCCTCAGAGCAATTCTAAATCTGAGAATTTGTGCTCCAAACTGTACAGGAAATAATTGTATAAAAACATATTGATGTGTATACAAGTATGGTTATTGCAACATTTTGGTTTTTTGTTAAAGTAACTCACTAGAAACTATCTTCATAAATGAGAACTGCCTCCGTATGTTGTGACATTGTCATACTGTGCGATCTCATTGAAAGTTTAAAAACATGAATCTCTATGTGCTCTTTGAAAGTTTGAAAACATGAGTCTCTATGTGCTCGTCTAAGAGCTTCCACACAGATAATTATGAGCTATAACCTGGGTGCAGTACTGTAACAGACTTTTCTGAGCTTGTCCTTTATTGGTGGGAGTCAGGGGTGCTTGCCGATGGGTCTGCGGGTCAGGACTTAAAGTCCCGTGCATGTGGCCCTCAGCAGTCTGGCACTGTGTTTCTCCTGGAGTCTGTATCAGGTAGGTGTTATGACTACAAGGCTTGTGCCTATGCCCACCTTGGTAATTTTGTGTCCGTGTGTTATGGCTTGAATCTTTGTGGTGAGTGGGCCCTACCTCCAGAGCGAGCGGGTATGATGGATATCACAGCATCTATCCCTGTAGTGCGCTCAGCGGCTGGAACATGGTCATTCGTACCTGAGGTGACCCAAAGGGCCCCACCTGTATGTCAGTCCATGTACCACAGATGATTGCACTTATGCCAAACCCCTAATGCCACCCACTTACCCCTGGGACCTGGGATTATTGTCCTTTGGGCATCAGTGTCTGAGAGACCAGGAAAAGCCTGGCCTTCCTTCCCTTCCACCCTCTTAGGAGGGCAGTGTCACACACTCCCAAAACCTCAATCCCCTTTTCTTTCTGAGGGAGGGAGGTCAGGATGCACACGAGGAGGGTCCTCCTCCTCATCTGACTGCCGGGCTTCCTGTCTCAGCTGTCTTTGCCATCCCAGTGATGAAGCCTCGAAGCCTCAGCCATCCTCTTCCCACGCTGTGTTTGGGACTGACAGGCCACCAATGCCTAAACATGAGTTATGAAGGGTGATTCACGCACTGCATCTAAAACAATTACTTGACGTTTTTCTTTTTAATTTTTTAGTGGCGGTAGTGGCTTGATTTAATTTCAATGCAGGGCATCATCCCCAAATAGAGTGTTTTTTTTTCTTTTTTTGATACTAACAGAATCCAGGGAACATGTGGCAGATGACACTGCAACTGTGAGATATTCATGGCATCCAGAGTAAGTTGGTTCAGGCCAAACTTTTAGATATGAAAGCACTAAGCAGACATCAGTATTTAATGCTCCTGCTCAGGAGTTTGAAAATACTCTAATAGTTTCATTTAATTGTTTGGCTAAACACCTACCAGTGATGGCCCACTCAGAGGGAAGCAGAAGGGTCACAGATCCCTCGGTTTCATGTAGAAGGTAAGGTGAAGTGCTTGTGAATATTGGAATGCTACTAGAATAGTTTTCTCAGAGAAGACTGGCTCACCCACAGTGTGAGGGCCCAAAATGCCTTCCCATTCCCTGTCATCACTTTCACCAAGACTCTGAGCAATAAATTTGTGAGTGTCTTCCTGGAGTGAAGTCAGTTTGTGAGTGGCCTGTGGCTTCCTTGAAGAGCACCGGGATCCCCATTTATAGACCATCCCTGCCAGCCTGTGATGGATTAACTATCGGTCTACTCGTAACACCCAGCTGAACTGAATCAGCGTGGTGCTGGGTGTAGCTGGCCCACCTGACGATCGTTGCCAGCAGCATAAAAAGAGAACTGGAGGAGAAGATGGTGTGCTGGTGATTGTCCTGGAAAAGTCTGTCATGCTGGCTTTCCTGATATGAACTCAGCTGTTCTCACTGTTGGAGGAGCTCGGGTCCTCAAGGTCACTGAGGATGGCTGTGGTTCTTTTCCGGGGCGCTCTGGTCCTTACCTTGAGCACAGCTTCCCGGCTCCAGTGCAGATCTCTCAGCCTGCTGGCACAGATCCTTTACCCTTCTGGCACAGACTTTCTAGCTTCCACCACTGACCTTTGGGCCTTCCCAGCGCAGATCCTTGATAGAGATTTGCATGAGACATTGTCGTGGGTGCTGGGCTTCAAGATGGACTTGTGGAGGACCTTACCATGTGTTCTAGGTCTTCAGCTAGACTTGTGCAGGACATGGCCGTGGGACACAGGGCCTCAACTGGACTCTGTAGGTATCTAATCTGTAGAAAGTATAATAATCTTTTGCATTTTCCTCTTTGGGTGAATATTAGAAAATAATCCTATAAATGACGTATCCTGTAGAAAATACATTCCTTTGTAAACCCTGACCATAACAGCAGAAACTGCAGTCAGTGAATTTGGAAAACGAAGGGGGTGAGAATCACTGGATTCTGAGGTGTAGAGGCCACGGGGCGGCCCTCAGCCACCAGAGGCAATGTGAGTGTGGCTGCTGTCATGGGTGAGAGAGTCAAGGCAGCACCAGAGAGTCTAACTCATGCAGACCTAGGGTGTGGTGGGCCCATTGTCTAGAAGGGAGAAAGGGCAAAGACCTACTAAGTCCTCACCTCATGCAAATAAGCAGAAGAGTTCTATACCCAGTGAGCAAAGATCTAACTGGATTCACAGACACTAAGCTATGAATCCTCAATCAATCCCTGATTTGAGCCAGAGTGAATACCCAGAATCCCTGCAAGAGAGGGGAGGTGTGTCTCCTTGGGGAAGTACTGCAGCACATGATTAGAAGGCTTTCTCTCCACCTTCCCACAGGCACCTGAGGTCTTTCATAGGGGAAGAGCATGGTGCAAAAAAGAAATAATGAGGATCTTTGAGGAATTACTGGACACTGACTCTGAATTGATACCAATTCCAGGTTGTCTAAAATATCACTTTCCCCGTGACCCTCACTAAGGTCTACGAGGTCAAGTGAGTTGAAGTTGACTCATCATCAACTTCAGACCCATCTCACCGTCACTGGTTCCCTGAACTCATCCTGTGGTCATTTCCCCAGCCTAGAAAACAAAGACCAACAGCTATGGTCAGCAGCTGGAAAAAATCCCTACCCTCTACCGTGACTTGTGCAGTAATAGCTTTACATGGTAGGACAGGGTCATTAGAAGGCATGAGACCTGCTTTTACCTGGTAACATAACACGTGGAAATCAGCGCACATTCCTGCCGGCATTAAAGAGATTAGCGCCACCTCACAGGCATAAAGATGTCGGGGTATATGTCTCTCAATAGCCACATTCAACTTTTCTTTTTGGCCCTCATAGAAGACAGATGGGATTGTGGGTAAATTACAGTAGGTTTTCTTAATCTTACTCAGGTTATGACTACAATAACAGTCTTTGTAGCAGATATGGCTTAATTTCTAATTCAAATGAAGGCATAATTTTGTTTCCTGGTACCTACAGATCTGTCCCTCTCAGTCCATAAGGTTCAGAAGCATTTTGCCCTCCACTGGTGAGGCAGCAGTAGACCTTCACCTTCCTCCCGCAGGGAGTGTCAACTCTCCATCCCTCTTGCCATTACTTATTGCTAGGGGTCTTGATTGCTTTTCCTTTCCATCAGATACCATGGTAGTCAGCTACATTGGGGACATTATGCTGATTTTACCAAGTCAGTGAGAAGCAGCAGCTACTTTAGATGTATGGGGAAACACTTGCTGAGTTGGGGAGTGAAATCTTTGGTCTTCTTCCTGGTGCAATTTCTAGGGGTCTTAGTGGTGTGGCTCGGGTAGGGATTGCACTGTCAAGGGAAAAAGTAAAGTTCTCACATTTGGTTCCTCTGACAAACAGAAAAGGAATCCTCCGATCTGCTGCCTGCAGGCTTCGGAACCAAGAAAGCCAGTGGGATAATTCCGTCTGATTGCGAAGTCTTGAGAATGGGTGGGGTGGGAGAGGCTAGAAGTTCTGGTCTGAGTTAGGAAGCTTGGAAGAGCACCTTCAATGTCACAGGTGAGGAATGGAGCAAGTGCATGGCTTTTTGCCTTTCCTGTCTCTTTGTTCTATCAAGGCCTGGGAAGGATGTGATTTCTCTCTGCACCAGGGAGGGCAATCTTCTTTCAGTCTAGTGATTCACATGAGAAAGTCTTGCAGGACCCCCCTCCCTCACACACCTAGAAAGAATGTCTTACCAGCCATCGGGCAATCAGGTGTTCACATGAAATTATGCATCACGTGGACAATAAAACAAAATTCCAGAGTAATTAAGATGTTTGTTTCCAAATAAAGATCTTTATTTAAATGTCAGAAGATAGTAAGTTATTGAATGAGGAAGTAAAAATAATGAAATTATTTTACATATAGAGAGCATAGAAACAATCCCTGAAGCCGGGCATGGTGGCACATGCCATGTAATCCCAGCACTGGAAAGGCTGAGGCAGGAGGATCTTTGCCAGTTCGAGGCCAGCCTGGGCTACAAAGTGAGCTCAAGGCCAGCCTGTACTGCATAGCGAGAGCCTGTCTCAAAAGAAAAGAAAGAGTCCCTGAATTTGTGAAGCTGAATATATTTTAGTGGCAGCATCCTTCCAACAATACCACTGTATTTTTGGCTCAGAGGAGCAGTTGACCACATAGCACCAGAGCAGAAGACAGAAATTCTTCTCTTTGTTCAGACTTCTTGTTCCAACTTCTTAGTTAGAAACCTAAGGGTAAAATACCTTTGTTTAGCACCAAGAGGAAATGGCTTAACATTCTAAGAACAACTGCACAGTGGTAATAACCAAAATACCACAAGCAGCACGAGATGTTCAAGTGTGGACCCTGAGATGCCATGGAGCACGGGAAGGCACTGGAGCAGCAGAGAAATGGGCTGCCATTGGTCAGGAGAGATAAAGCTGCCACAGACGAGCCCACCTTCGCAGGCCTAGGGGTGGGTCACGATGGGCCTGAAGGGAGTAAGGAGGTCTGTTGATTCCTTGCTTGATCTGAAGCAGCAGAGGAGATCCAGGCCAGCAGAACCCAAGTCTAAATGGTTTGCTGGAGCTCAGGAATAGACAGCAGGTGCTAGCACAGCAGAGGACCAGCAGGAGACAGATTTCTCTTGATCACATTTTCAGGAGCTTCTCCGGAGCTTCTTCCATCTTTGGAAAAGAAGCAAATGTTACTACAAGACTCTGAGGACACTCAGGGACAATTCTGCTGGGGATCTGTCCCCCGTCCCCTGACCTCAGATCTGTCCTCACTAAGGGCCATACATTTCTCTCCCCCGCCCTCTCATCCCTGCCCCCAGGAGCCTGCAGTAACCTTCTCCTGCTCTGCATCCCAGCATGATCCCTGCGCCCTGAACACTGGAATGACTCAGGACTGAAGCTGTCGTTATGGGACCTGCTCCCTGACCACAGGCTGCTTCCCTCTCTCATGGAAGGGGCTGGCGGACTTGTAGGGGAGGTGGGAGAGTCTGCATTTGGGTACCGAGGCCTGGTTCCTAGGGCTGGAGGGGAGCTGCAGGCAGACAGACATCCTGCTCCTTTTCCCTCCTCACCTGAGAGTCACACACGAAGGCCCCGAGCGCAGCGTCTCGGCCCCACCCCACCCATTCACTGTCTGCCTGCCTGGGAGTTCGGACCGCAGCCTCAGCTGGGCCCCTACTGGCTCCGGAGGCAACTCTGCCCCAGGTAGGGAAGGCAGAGCTGGCTGAGGAGCTGGAGGCTGCAGGAGGCTGCCAGAGGAACAGTCTCAGCAGAGCCTGGATTCCCAGGAGTCCCCAGAGGGCTGGCCTCCTTCTCACCTCATCCTGGACAGACCCTGGTTGTAGCTTTCTACCTCCACTGAGGGGAACAAAGCCTCTTCCTGTGGGAAGGCAGCCCTGACCTGCAGCCTGTGAGTCGAATTGGGAAAAGCTTCCTGGCCCAGGTCCCGCTCCTCTTCCTCTGCGGCAGTGATGGCGAACCTCTCAGAGCTTTCAATGATAACGCACAGGGGCTGGGGCATGAATGCCGTAAGTTCGGCACGAGGAACCTACGGGATGAGTCATCATTCCTCCTTACACATGAAGTGGAGCCTCCATGATGACGTCACCCCAATACAGATGTTTTCCCTCTTCGTGTTCCTTCCGTGTCCCTACCTTGCATCCCTGGTCCCTCCTCAAATGGAATCTGGGTGGACCAGGCTTTGTTTCGCTAAAACCCTATAGAACACAGCAGGCCTGGTGTTGGTATGGGCTGCTCTACCTCTAGCTTGTGCTCCCCACTCGGGGCTGAGCTCGCTGAGCGATTGCTACCACGTGACTGGAGGTCTCACTGTCCGGTTCCATTTCAAGGTGCAGCAGGGACAGAGACTCTGAGCATTTTCCCCTCCTTCCTCCCCGCACCCGCCTCCCTCCCCATTCTGATTGCCACACCTCCACCAAATGTATCCTCCTGCGATGCCAAGTAGGATGATCAGGATGGGCAGGAGGATGGCCCCGGGGCTCAGGTTGGTGGCCTTGGCACTGGGTGGGCTGGTGGGTGGTGCTGGAGTGGAAACAGGAGACAGTCAGCATTTGTCCAGCCCCCAGATCTGAGCAGCTGCCTCCTCAGCTCCAGCTACCTGAGCTAACAGCGACCAGGTGAGATGAAAAGGAAAAGTGACTCCCAGGGAAAGCCTGGTAAGAGGCGGATGCCTACAGCATGGAAATCAGCAAGAAATCCAGGGTGGGTGGATCGCAGGCGTGTGCAGTGAGCAAGAGGTGTTAGGAGGGGAGAAGGGAAACGATTGGAAGAAAACACTTGCCACCATTCCCCAGGGCGAAACCACTCCAGACCACTGTAAATGGAGCATTTCCACACAGGCACACGCACACACGTGGGACCATCGCATCTGAAGGGAGCCACCTCTTCCCCCTGCTCTTCCCAGGTACCTCTGGTCTTGAGACTTTCCTTCCAGTGCTCCAGGAACTCCTTCAGCCAACTCCCACAGTCATCCACCGATGTCCGGTATAAGAAGGGGAACAGCTCCTGGTCATTCTTCCACTTCTCTTTCAGCACCTCCATCCAGGGGGGACCTCCGTCCACTCTCTTTGGTTCGAGTCAACACGGAGCAAAGTCTGTCCATTGCAGCCAAACTCCCAGGCCCCGCTGAAGTGTCCACCAGCTTTCTGGTGACAGGTCATGGTGGCCTGCAGCATGAGGGGAGCTGCCCCATGGAAAGAGAACAGCCTCAGCTCTGGACACACCCTTGGCCCCCACCCAATATCCACCTCCTCTGAGCTACACATCTGGCCTTGTTCTTGCTCCACACCCCACCTTGATGCTGGAGTTGTTGCACGGACTGACGTCCAATTATTTTCTTCCCACACAAATGGGATAAATATCCCTACAGCCAACCACCTCTCTGACTCCCTCAGAGTATTCTGATTTACCTGGGGATGTACAGTTCTGTAGTTTAAGCTGAAGCATTTCTTGTTTCAACCTGTCGCACATATCCTGCAGTGTTTCTGACTGCCGTCCCCAGGTCTTGGTGCTATTCACCTTCCCTCCAAGGACATCCGTGGATACAGTCATAGGAAAGAAAAGTCTTCTGACCCACCAGACCCTGGATTGTGCACCACTGCTGTCCAGGCGGGGGTTTAGGACAGATGGTGAATTCATAGCAAAGAGAGTGGGTGCCTGGGAGGGAAAAGCATGAGGAAGGATTAGGGGTGAGCAGGGAATGGATCCATCTGTCACCTCATAACCTCTGTGAGGGGAGGAGCATCTCTGAAGGGCTGCGCTGGGTGGGGGACTGCTCCTTCCCACACCGCGTTCTCCCCCATCTAAACCTAGCACTCTTTCCTCGCTCGAGAAGGAAAAGGACATTCCCTGGTAGCAGCCGCATGTCCCAGGAGAAGGTGCACATTCCCTCTGCCCATGCGACTAATCCCCACATTCATGACCACCTGATCGTGATGGAAGACACTGCCGGGATGGCAGAGGGTCTTAGAAGCAACCCAGCTGGGCTGCAGGGAGATGGGGAGTCTGTGGAGCTGCCCTGACTTGGGGCGAGGACGGGAGCCATGTGGGACACAAGGTTCAGTTTATGATTGGGGTTCATAGGGTTTGTAGTGCCTGCTGGGACTAGTAGATTGGCTTCTGTCAGCTCGGGAAGGGGTAGCCTCCACTGCACCATGTAGAAAAAGCAATTAAGAGATCTTATGTACCCCTCCCTGCTGCTTTAGCTTCTGCGGGGAGGAAGGGGGGGTGTTGCTGGCGAGCGTCCTCAGGCAGGGGCACAAGGTGCCAGCTGGGGCTTCTGGTTTGGAAGGTGGGGGAGGCCTGTGGTACCTGAGGTCTGGTCAAGGTGGGTAGCGGCACCGGGGCACAGCGACTCAGGAGGGAAGTGGGCGGATGTGGCTGGTGCGGCTGTGGAGTCCTGGGGACGTGACCTGCTGGCAAAGATTCTTGAGGACTCTGGGGGACAGAGCTTCTAAGAACCAGCCAGGCCTGAGCAGGGTTCAGCTTTCTGGCTTAGGAGCCCTTTCAGGCTTGGAGGCCGCACGTTGCAGGAGCTGGGCGCGGAGCGGCGGCCTGGGTCGCCTGACCGACAGCCCTCTGGGTGGTTCTCCTCCCTCTCCATCCCCGGCATCCCGGGATTTCTGCTGCTCCGCCGGCCCCTGGGCGAGCGGTGAGAAGGGCTGAAGTGACCTGGACGCCAGGGAAGGAGCCGGGGAGCGGGGCGAGTGGGAGCCGTGCTGGGGCCAGCGCGGGGACTCACCATTGCAGGCCGCCCAGCGAGGCGCCCCCAGCAGCAGCAGCGGCGGCAGCAGCGGCAGCCAGACCCGGGCGCCCAGGAGGAAGTCAGCGGTCGCGGCCCGCGCCATGGGTCCTCTGGGGACCGGGAAGGGGGTTTTGAGCGCAACCAACCAAGCAGGGCGGGGACCCGCGGCCCTACCTGCGGCTGCACCGCCTGCGCCTCCCAAAGTTTCTGAGGACTTGGGGGACCCAGGGTTGGGGTACGCAGGGCTTCCGCGGGCTCTCCCCGTCGGCCGTCCGCGCCCCGCAGCGCAATCCGGCCTCCTCGGATCCTTCTGCAGCGAGGGGCGCCGCGGCCCGCAGGGGACGCCCCCTCCCGCGGCTCCCCGCGCCCCCTCCCGCGCCCCGCCTGACCTGCGGCCCTGTCCTGCTCTGCTGCCCGCAAGAGCTTGCAGCGCCGTCCCTCCTCGACGCCACAGACGCGTCTGGCCAGACTCGCAAGAGCGCTGAACACAACGGAGCTCACTGCGGATGTTCCTGCGCTGAGGGGGCCCCCCCTGGGTTCCTGGGCGCGCCGGGTGGTGCCCGGTAGGGATCCTGCAGTGCCCTGCAACTGGGAGCGGAGAGGTGCGCCCTCCGGGGGTGGGGGGCGGTGTGATGCGCGGGGCGCGTCACCACCATACCTGGCTATCCTGTTTCATTATTGTCCTTTCATCAAGACCAGGTCCTCTTGATTTCTGTAGTTAGGTTTTTTTTTAGTACTGGGGACTGAACCTGGAGCCTTCATACTGCTCCCCTTCTTAAATTTTATATTTTAAGACAGGGTTTTGGTAAGTTAGTAAGTTGCTCAGGCTAGCTCTGAACTTGTGAGAGTCCTACGCTTTTTACAATGACAGTAGAAGTGGACTAATAAACTTCCTATTTCAGAAGCACTGACAAGAAAATGACCCGTGCACTCTGGTTAGCAGAATATGTTCAGAAGTGTGGGAAGTTGTTCTCACTGCTCTAAATGTCATTTGCATAATGTATCTGGCATGCCAAGGGCGTATTTTTCTCGAATTTCAACATTATCAAAGATACTCAAGGCACATGCTCAACGAGTGCAGCTACTCGCTAGGAATTATGCTCGCGCTCTCTCTCTCGCTCTCTCTCTCACACAGACACACACACACACTTAAAACACACACTTGTCCTATTACCCCATGACTGGGTATTACTAACCCCACTTTGCGGACAATAGCGGTGATTCACAGCCAAGGTGCTCTCCAGGCGTGCCCCGCTCTGGACGCTGCCTTGGGCTGAGACCGTTGCACCCCTTGCGGTGGGGCCTTGTCCACCCTGCCAGACGCACTCAGTGGCCTGGAAGAGCTGGTGGGAAATGCCCACTCCTCCAGAGGCTCCACAGTAGCCCTAAAGACAAGCAGGAGAAATACTCTATGTAAGAATATTCTTCAGGCAGCATTGGTTTTAATCAAGACCTGCCCACACCTAAATGCGTACTTGAATGGTCATCCATAGAATGGATGAGCTAGCTCAGAGGAATGTTCACCAGGCATTTTATTAAGGAGTTACATTCAAGGGGGAGGTTAGTATCAATAACTACACACACCATCAGGACAGTAGGGATGAATATATTCCCAGAATTTGGTGAACTTGTTGCTTGATAAACTCTGGTTAGAGGATCACAACATATTTCATATTTCCCCCCTTGCCTTTTGTTTTCTGGCTTTTCCACATGAATATGCTTACTTTGATAATCTGGAGTTTTTTCAGAGATTAGCACTTTTGTGTAATGTACCCTTTTGTGCTTTTTTTTTTTTTTTTTTTTTTGAGACAGGGTCTCGCTGTGCAGTTCAGGGGGGCCTTCAGCTATGTTGCCCAGGCTGGCCTCGAACTTCCAGCGACCTTCCTGCCTCAGAATCCGAAGTGCTGGGACTACAGCTGTGTGCCACCATGCCTGGCTGCTCTGATCCTGTTCTAATCATCACTAGGGTTCTGGATCCGTTTCCCTTTTCTTCAGAGGTGGTTGATATTTTTATTGGGCTACGTATGGATCCCCACAATGGATTGAATCTGGGGCCTGGTACACCCAAGGCAAGGGCCCTACCACTGGATCTATTTCTGAAGTTTAAACTGCAGTACTGTATCTTCAAAAGGACTTCAAAGGATGCCCCAATAGCTGGAGAAGAGGCAGATGAAATTGGGGAGGAGACAGTCTTAAGTGCAGTCACTGAACTGTGGTGGCCACTGCAGCTCAGCCCTTGAAGGCAAACCCAGCTCTCCACGACTTGGAAGCTCCTGACTCACACCGGCTCCTCGTGGGGCCTCTGCAGAAACATTCCAAGTGTGACCACACACACTGTACACAGAAAATAATCTAGGATAACAACGGTTTTTTCCGTTAACAGATAAATGAAGCTGTTTCCTGCGCAAAGTCTGTGCGCTCTGGTGCAGGACGCCTGTAGCCCCCTCGGCTGCCAACCAGCAAGGGCCCTTCTCCCTGGAGCACCACCCCTGTTCTATCCCGCTCTAAAAGGCCCCTCGTAAAGATTTGTCAGTGCAGCTCCACCTCCAGCCTCCTTTTCTATGGGGAACGGCTTCTTCACGCCTTCAAGAGGACCATGGGCCCCAAGACCCTCTGCCTGTCCACGCAGGAGGCCAGCACAGCTCCTCCTCCTGGCCACCGAGATGGCTTGGGGAAGGGCGCACGGACCACAGCCCCCGGCAGGGTCCTTCCTTGGGCTCTTCCAGTGTGTGCTGGGTGAGGGCCTGGGTGTGACAGCGTGAACATTGGAGGTGAAGCCATCCGCCCTCCCAGACAGAAGGCAACACCTTCCTGTCCTGCCTAAGCCACTCTGAGTAGATTCCTAACAGTTCCAAGACAGTCCTCCTTTTTTCATGTATTTTCCAACAGGAATTTTAGTGGAAAAAATGAAGGCAACCACTCTACCTGTCCCTCCCCACCACCCCTATGAGGGCAGGCTTATTTCCAGAAAGCCCGTCTGCGTTCATGGTAGCATCCTATTTCAGAGAATCCGTGAAGTTTTTGCACCTCAAGTGACAAGCCGTCCACAACAGAGAACCCACAGCGCCCCAGCAGCGTAGCGTCCCTGGGGTCGAGGCCCCCTGGACGGGCAAGCCGAGAAGCCGTGGTGGTTTGCAGCACCGAGACGAGAGGCTGCGACCGTGCTAGGAACACGCGCTGCCGGGAGCGGTGAAGTCGGCCACTCAACGTTCAGATTGAAACAAGAAAAATGAAACACCACCATCATTTGGGACATGGACTTTATTGTTTAGAAATTTCCAGCAGAGCCCCCTCATCCAGTCCCTCTGTAAGGAGATGCCCGTGAAGATCGAGGCTGGACAACAGCAGCGCGCCCTGCAGGTGCGTGAGGGGCGCCCCGCACCCCACAGGCGGAGAAGCGCAGCACACAGGTGTGGCCTCAAGGGGAAGACCCCAAAGCCGGCTTTCTGGGGTACTGATGGAAGAGGAAAGGCATCGAACAGAATCTGCAGAAAATCGAATCTGTCATGACTGCCATTCCGACCTTAGGTGAACGCCCACACCAGCTGACCTTATTAGTAGTTTATTTGAAAAGCAAACCAAGTGTATATGGCATCTCTTAAAAAATCATGTAAACATTGCAGTGTTCTTAGGGTTTATCATCTGAAGAGGCTTACAAAAATTACGGGACTTGTTAAGACTATAAATACTAACCCCCCTCCCTCATGAAAAAGCAATTGTTACAAAAATATAAAAAATAGAACAGCTTGTACTATTTAACCTTCCCACCGGAAACCTTACGACTCTGGGACTCGTCCTGGTTTGTACACCGTACAGTAAGCACAAGCGCCTCTTTTCCACCTTCGTGTGGAAGGAAAAGCCCCGAACCACCCCTTTTGCTATCTGAGATTATGGCTCCTTTCCTCCCGAGGACGGCAGGGCTAGCAAGGAAGCTTGAGGGTGCATGCGTTTCCCTGTGTGGAAATCGGCACAGGAAGCTGCCTCCCGACCTCCCGGCTTAGTCTCCCCCGACTGCTCTCTCCGGCTCCTGCAGGTCCTTTGGGAACCCGGGTCCGCAGACTCCTGAGCTGCTCACAACTCCCCAATAGTGAAGGCGGATGTGAAGCCGGGCTGCTGCTGAAGGGGACGAGACGCACCGCGCCTGCGGCTGCCCGCAGCACTGCTTGCGCGAGTGTGGCCAGGGGGCGCTTTGCGAATGTAGGGGCGCTGCTCTCCTGGCTGGAGAGGCCAGTGGCTGCCGCGCATGCGTGCAGAGCTCGGAGGGGAGGAAGGAGCGAAGGTGAAGGCAAACGCTTTGCATGAAATCGCAACACCTCGGTAAACTTTGAGTCTGACTGCATTCTCCCTGCACTGGTGCCTGTCTACCAGGACCTCCGGCTAATCACCAGTTAGGAAATGGAGCAGTTTGAAACATTTCAAAAAACTACAGCAGTGGGGCTGTTGGTTGGTCAACTCCGTAAGGAGCCCCTGTGGCTGAGGGGTGTTTCAGCCTGGCCTAGTCCAGGGGCCCCCAGCAGGGCAGCAGTGTGTGTAATGGCTCAGACAAACCCTCGAGAGAAAACTGCCCCTGGGTCACCAGGGGCATGAGCCATAGGCCCCCACGTAGCTGGACACAGCTGGGCTATCACCCGGGTCCCTGAGGTCCAAGGGGCTCTCTCACACCAGGGCTCTGGCTAAGCATGGACAGGAGAGCCGTCCTTCCTGGAGCCGTCGGTGTGTGGAGCGCTCAGGATCCGCCACGCTGCTCAGAAATGGAGACTGGGTTTGATCCGCAGCCTGGCTCACTCACTCCTCTGTGGGACCTCTGAGCTTGGCTGCGCCCCCAGTGCCACCAGAACCGGGCCCAGCATCCTGCCCTACCTGGGCGCCTCGTCCTTCCTGTCTGAGCTGGGCTGCCCCTCTGCAGGCCACAATGATAGACCCTCCCCCGAGGCCCTACTGGACTCCAGGCCCTACCGTTCAAAGGACTAGAGCTTCACACCACTAAGGGTTTTATTTCATAGACTGTCGGGAAATTCTGTTTCCAGTCCTCACTGCGTTGAAATCGTACATTTCCCAACACCTGCTTGTTGCTCCAGGTCTGAAACACCTCATCCAACACGGCCTGGTTGTTTAAAGCCCGAAGGGAGCTTTTCAAAAGCAGCAACAACGCATGATTCAGAGAACTGTGGCCGCGTCTGCGGAGCAATCCCTCTCCAGTGGCTGCATTGCAAAACCAGGGGCTGAGAGACACTGTGGATTCACATTTGCTCCCAACATCAAGGCACAAAGGAAGGAGTCTCCTGTGCAGAATGACACGCGCGTGACCGGCAACCTGGGGAGGCCCGAGGCAGAGTCCGTGGGGGAGGCCGGTGCGGTCAGGAGGAGCCGGGGGCCGTGCTCAGGCGTACTGCTCGAGGAACTTGATGTGGAAGTCCTTCACCTTCCGGAGCACCGTCTTCAGCTTCTCCACCGGAGGCAGGATGGTCATTCTGTCCGGAAAGAGAGCGTCAGCCTGGCTGCCCAGGGGAGGAGAGGAAGGAGCCCAGCCGCTCACCTCGCTCTGCTAGGAATGGACACGGCTGGAGGAGGCTGGGCCGGGCCTGTCCCTGGCAACAGCTCGAGCCCCTGGACAGTGGCTGGCTCTTAATAAATGACTTGCACCCATATTCGTACATTCACTCGAGACAGGGTTTTGCTGTTGCCCAGGCTGGCCATGAACCCCTGGGCTCTGTGATCCTCCTGCGTCAGCCTCCCAAGGAGATGGGATTACAGGTTATGTACCATTGGTAATAGGTGAAAGCAAAGCTCAAGGAAGGCAGGGCAGCACTGAGGCTCACTCGGGTACGGTCACCCATGGCCCGAGAAGGTCTGTGCCACATCTGGGTCGACGCGTGGAACTCCCAAGAGCGTGAGAGCGTGACTACTGGGAGCTACAAAGCAAGACTTTACTCCTGCTGGGTGGGAGTTTGGCTTTTGTTTCTGCGCTCCAGCAGCTGGTCTCCCACAGTGAGACCGACAGCCTGCACTGACAGCTCTCCTTCCGAAGACTCTCACTCCTCAGTCGGCGTGGCCAGCCAAGCTCTCCCTGCAGCCCCAAGGACCGGCCTCCTGCGCTAGAGACGACCCTCCTGAGGACACTGCTTCCTTTGTGGTGCTGGGGAGCGGAGCCAGGGCCTCGGCTTTGAATGTGCTCTACACTGCCCCCAACCTCAGCAGTGAGCCGGCTGTGAGCAGATGTGGTAGGAGCCACAGGGCCCACCACCAGCGTAAGCAAAGAGCGAGAGCTCTGTGCGTTTGTAAGCCGCTGTTCTGCACAGGACAGGCTCTGTGGGGAGTCGGGCTGAGCCAGGCATCCCCGAGGCCGGCCCGGGTGTGCCTGGCAAGGGCTCTTGGGAGGAGGAGCCGATTCCACTGCGCATCAGCAGGGACTCCCTGCGGGCCACGGTGCATGGTGCAGCTACCCAGTGCCTGCGGTGTGCTGTTACCATGGAGCTCAAAGAAAGCAGGAAGTGAGTAAACACACTCCTGGGGACCTTCCTCTGTGACGTGATAGATGAAGCCAGCAGCGGGAGAGACAGGACAGCCGAGGAGGCCCTCTCAGAGACACGCGTGGCGCCCACCCAGCTTTCCTAACTCGCAGGGCAGGAGCTGAGCACGTCTCCCTGGCAGGACGGAACAGGTGAGACGGGGGAGCCGAACTCAAGGGGGGTCAGAGGCTCCTCTCCCCGCGGTCCTGCAGCCAGCTGACCCGTGAGGCCCGTGTGGAGAGGGCGTCATACCTGAAGTGGTAGGTGCCTTCCCTCTGCCCAAAGCCACTACCAGGAACCACGCAGATGCCAGTCTCCTCCAGGAGCTTCATGCAGTAGAACATGTCCGGAGCCATTTTGTGGGCCTGCGGGAGCAGGGCAGAATTTAAGATCATTCCTAGCTTGGTAATGTACAAACACACCACTAAAACAGCACCAAACAACCGGAAAGGCAGGCTATCTCTCCTGTAGCCGCCCCCGCCCTGGCGGACGACAGAGTCCGGACAGTGAGAGGCTGCTCAGGAACGGGGCACTCGAGGCGCCTTGGGCCACCCAGGGCTAGTGCTGCTGCTGCTCCCCCTGGGCAGCGCCCGCCGACTGCTGTGTCCGCTCCCAGCGGCTGCTGGATGAGCACGGTCAGGGGCCCCCTCGGAGCCGAGCTACCCGGCGCTCTGAAAACAAGGCCGGGGTCTGCACTCCGTGGGCTTTCGGGGACAGTGTCCCTGGGGCCACTCCGGAGCGTGCTCCTCACACACTGGTTTGCACGAGTTACCAGGGAGCCTGTTACACGCACACGCTCAGGCTGCCACAGAGGGTGCCAATTCCGTGTCTGGGACAGGGCCTCGTTCTGAGTGTGTAATGGGGGCTCAGCAGGTTCTGGCTGGGTAAAGATGCCACTTCCAGAAATGCTGCTCTGCCCACAATCCTCCCAGCAGGGACTGCAGTGCCACCTGAGCCTCTGGAATGGCAGTCTTGAGCCTCTTATAGACTCCGGGAGCCCCAGCTGGTATTTCAGCAAGACACCGGGTGACTGGTGCGTGCGGCCACATCTGGGAAGTGGTGGGGAGGGGACCGCCTTGGGGCAGCAGTGCTAACAGAGACCGTCCTGGCCGACTCACCGGTGCTGGCCTCATGTCTGCGCCACAGCTGGCAACGCTAGGCCTGGGCCTTGGAGAACCAGGCGCCTTTCTTTCACAGTAAGCAGCACCTGGCTAAGCGACCACAGAGCTTAAAGCCCAAGGGCCAGCACCTGTGCTCCGCAAGGCCAGAGCCAGCCCCTGACCTAGCTGTCTCAAGGGAGCCCCGGGAGAGGAACCCAGCCCGGTGACACCCAGACCTGAGCTGCTTCCACAGCCTTGGAGGGAATGAAGATCCGAGGAAAGGCGTACATGGCACCCTGCAAGGGGTTGCAGTGGATTCCAGGGACCTCGTTGAACAGGTCTTCTGTCAGCTTCGCTTTTGTGGCCAGATTACCTAGGACGGATTCCTTCTCCTGAGGAAGACAGGAAGAACAGGGGTCTGCATCTCTGGGGGAGGCCCGGCCCCAGCCACGGAGACTGCTCCTTCCACGCGGCTGACGGGCCAATGCATGGCAGGCTGCGTGTGTGCATGCACAGTGAACACGCTCAAACTTGCAGCCCAGGGACTGCCGTGCGCCCTGGCACACACAGTAGCCGTGTCATGGGCTCTACTGCCGTACCAGATGCGTCATTCAACTAAACAAAACCAAAAGAAAACACTCCTTGCAGGTCAATCTGAACGCACCTGCCCCTAAGCAGAAGTACTTCAAGGAGACATGGGTCTCAGCCAGGGGGGCCCGCCACACTCTCAGCCCCTGTGCTGTGCATGGGACACAGGGCCCAGGCAAAGCAGTCACAGTCCCTGTGGCTCAGAGCTCGACAGTGTGCAGGGCTGGAGCAGGGCCTCCCAGGCCTTCAGGAAGAGCTGTCAGAAAGGGGTGAGGGCGCGCACCCGCCGAGGGGCAGGTGAACGACACTCTTGCCTTCCTCCCTGGAAGGACGTCTGCCCACCGCATGATGAACCTGGAGGAAACTGCTGAGTGAAACAAGCCCGTCACACGGAACAACACTGCCAGCCCCACCCCTATGTGGTATCTAAAGCACGTGAACTCAATATGAACACACCTACTGCCAAGGGTAGTCTAAGTCTACCCTTGGACTTAGAAATGGCGAATTTTTGTTATGTGTATTTTACTACAATTTAAAAGAAGAAAGACGACGCTGGACCAGCTGGGAGCTGACTTCTAGGTTACACGACCCAGTTCTTTTTTTTTTTTTTTGAGACAGTTTCACTAAGTTTCTTAGACTGGTCCGGAGTTCTTGACTCAAGCGGTCCTCCTGCCTCAGCCCCCTGCACAGCTGCAGCCCCAGGTGTGTTATGCTTGATGCACACTGTCAGCTTAAGGAGTCTTGCGGCTTGGCTAAGGGACTCAGTTCCACATCCTGGGGGGAAAAGGACACGCCCTTACCACTCCAGGGTGTTGTTCATTGTGTCAATGTGAGAAGTTCAGAAGGTTAACTGACCCAGCAGGGGGCCAGGGTTCTTACTTTGTATTCATCCTGAGCCTGTGCAAGAGGACCGCAGGAGACTATGTGAGAGCTACACGGCCCCTGGGTGGGGGCAGCCTGCTTACAATGTAAGGGAGGGAAAGAGGCTTGTTCCCCCCGTTTTTGCTCTTGTTGCTTTTGCTGTCTTGTGCCGCCTTGAAGTGGTACCCCTGTGCCCTGCCACCCTGCCTTAGAGCAGCTGACTAGACTGAAACCTCCAAAAAGTGTGAGCTGAACAAACAAACCTTTCCTTCCTTAATTCTGGGCATTGGGTATTTTGTCTCAGCAAGGAGGGAAAAGTAACCAAGCCCAGGTGCATGCCACCATACCGCGCTTCCTAAGTCCCTTTTTAACTAGGCAGCGCTGGGCCTCCGTCACACAAACAGCAGGGTCTTGAGTGGATCGTTCTGAGCCAGGAAGACACCTGGTTAGGCTGCAGGGACAACCCACACCGTGCCCCCTTCCCCCTCCTCTCGGCTCAGCGACAGGCACCCTCCGCCCGGTGTCTCCCACTCCGCAACACATGGGTGAGGACGAGGGTCCGCTCCCCATCGCCCCGTGCAGTCTGTCCTCCTGCCCCAAACACACGTGGCCACATCCTCTGGCTTCACCAACTGGTGCGGGTAGTTTAGGCACCGAGAGGACGCTGAGCGCCCCCAGAGGACAGATAGGCACACGGGCCACCCCCACACAGACCCACACCCATGGGAACACGTGGCCACCCTGAGACAGGTCCACCATCTGCCACAGCAGGAACTCACTCGTGACCGGAGAGCAGACTCACCCTGCGGAACTGCTCGAAGGACTCCTCCCCCGGGGCCGGGGGGTTCACCACGATGTCCATGGCAGCCTGTCCAGATACCGGCGGGCATAGACGCACCGAGAGCAGCTTCACCAGCTGGCCCTTGATCTCGGGGTGCAGGTTGATCACCTCCATGTAGCCTCCGCGGTAGCCACACCTAGAGGGTTCAGGAGAGGCAGCACAGCCAACGGTCACAGAAAGGCCTCGCTAGTTGTGGTCTGGACACCAGACTCTCGGCACCATCCGCAACCCAACACCAAACAGCCACCCAGCACCAAATATCCCCGCCACGGCAAGGTGGCCGGAAGTGATGTGCACCAGCCCACCTCTGCACAGGGGGCCGTGCTCCTTCCCACTTCCTGAGACGCTGGGGCACCCCCAGTACTGAGGGTGCACCTCACATGCTGAGAGGCCAGAGCCAATTGCTTCTCGGCCTTTTGGCTAAGATCAAGTGTAGTATCTGAGAAGCCACAGCCACGAGCTCCCTCACCTCAACTGACAGTGTGGGGAAGACCCTACCCTGGGCTTCCTCCTCCCTTTGTACCATTATGTCAAAGAGATACACGTCCATCTTGCTCAAGCCACTGTATTTTGGGATGTTTTGTTATAGCAACTTCGCCTGAAACCTAATCACTAGCACCTGCTCAAAAGATGGGTGCAGCACCCAGCCCTGGCAGACCCTGCACAAGCTCCAGGAATGGGCACGTGATTCATTAGCGCCAATGAGCATCTTTTTCTGGAATACTTTTTACTGCTTGAAAACAAAGCAAATCCAAAGGATAGCGAACCTGAGAATCAGAAAACAAGACAAAACAAGAAACCAGAGACAGTCGCACTAACACCTTTTGTTTCGTTTCCGTGCCAGAGACTGAAGCCAGGGTCTTGCCCATGCTGAGCACACACTCTACCACCGAGCCACACACCTCCAGTCTCCCCACAGACATCTTGGAGCCCTTGATTAAAGTCTACCCTTAGACTTGAAAAAAACCCACTTCTGTGGTGTAAGTCAGTTCAAACTGACTTCTGTAATCTGTAGCCAAACATCCTGACCGACGCAGAGTCAAATCACATGAAAATGAACTGACATAAAACGAGTTTAAAAGAATGTTTCTTAGCCAAATCAGCAGTATCAGTCCTGTTTTCTCACTCTGCCTCCTTCTCTAGTCTGGTCTGCCAGTGTCTGGACGAAGGGCCACAGGATCACGGGCACTCCGAGGCTGGGGCCTGGTTACCTTCCTCTGTGCACCCCTGCCCCTACCCTCGGAGCACCTGATGTGACCAGAAGCGCAGGACCATGCAGCTGAACGGAACTCGCCGAGACAGGTTCTGCTCTGACCCCTGGACTGGACTTTCCAAGGCAGGAACATAAACTCTGGCATCTCAGAAAGGCTTCCCAAATGTGTTGAAATGTTGTATCACTGTGATGGCGAACCCTTTAGAGAGGAGTGCCCAAACTGCAACCCAAGACCCACTTATTTACCACAAAGTGCCAACACTGCAATGAAGCTCGAATGCTCGGCAGCTGGGGCAATGCTGGTCGACAGGGCTCTCATGGGTTCGCCGCCACTGTATTGAATCCTCTGTGATGAGCAGAAATCAAATTGCACACAGCCTCTGACCCTAGGGAACCAGGATCTGAGAACAACGGGCATAACTCAGAGCACAGCACCCGGCAGCCTGTTTAGGAGTAATCAATAACAAGAGCGGGGGAGACGGACAGGTGTGTGATAAACACACCTGCACAGGAAAAATGCACAGAGAACAGGTTTGTTTAGAAAAAGATCTACACAGTACCTGAATGTCAGGCAAAGAGGCAGCATGGCTACCCAGGCAGACCAGCAAGACGAGCATGAAAGAGCCCCTGCCCACATCAGACGAAGCCAACAGGCTCGCAAGCAGGCCAGAGGGAGCTCCCTTACCCTGGCTAAGAGTCCTTCCAGCTTCACCGTTCCAGGGGCCTGCAGCCAGCTAAGTGAGAACCCATCCCACGCCGACGCCTGGCGCTCACAGCCGCCCGCAGCGGCAAGCTCACTGGCTCTCCTCAGTCTCCCATACAGGTTCTTCCTCTCAGGCTGAGCAGCGGTGCCGGGCGCAGCCCTCAGACCCCTGCTACTCTCACTCTGCGTGAGACGTGCAGGCTAAGAGCGCACGCGCCAGCAAACACCAGCCCCGACGTCCACGCTCACGCAGTCATCTCTGCCTGGACAGCAACTGGGCATTTGCAAATTTAACACCTCTAAAGCCAAGCTTGCACTCTTGCCCTCCAAGTCTTCCCCGTCTTTTGAAGGCAATGCCATCCTTGCTGCTGTCCGAGCAAAAAACTTGGGACTCGTCTCTGACTGTTCTTTCTCACACCGGTCTTTCCCATCAGCAATTCCTGTCCACTCCATCCTCGGATGCATTCCAGATCTTCTCCCCACTTCTCCCCTGCTCCACAACACCCTCTCTGGGGACGAGAGCAGCTCGAGCTCCCGCGGCTGCCACTCCCCAGTGTTCAGAAACCAAGAGTCCAGTAAAACCTCTCATTTGAGGAGGTTGCGCCTCTGCTCAATCCTTCATCCCACAAGTAGAAGTCGAAGGTAACTCCGGTGGCCCAGGTGCGCTGGGCCCCTACGACTTTGGTCGCACCTTCTACCATTTTCTCCCTCTCCAGCACTCTCCGGCCCTTTTGCTGCTCCCCACTGTACCAGGTACACTGGCAGAGGCAGCTCTGGGCCTTTGCACGAGCTGTTCTTTCTGCCTGGAGCACTCTCTCCTGGATACCTTCCTCCCTCCTGTGTGTCTGGGCTCAAGAGGTAGCTTTTTGGAGACTGCACTACGTAAGCTGTAAGCCGGTGAGCCTGCCCCACCTGGCACTCCTACCCATTCCTGGCCTTTCCCCATCACAGGCCTTTTCTGTCTGTTGCTTCCATCCTCGCTGGAACACAGCCCTGTGAGGGCAGGCACTGGTATAGTTTGCTCACGGTGTCCTCGGAGTTTACGTCAGTAAGTGCTCAGTTAATATTAGCCGAACGAGCAAATACAGGGTTGCAGCTGCACTTTTGGTCCCCAAGGTCATCTGGTGCTAAGGCAGCCGTACACACTGAGCTTGGCCCACCGGCCTAATGGCATTTCTGCATGCACGCTGCCCTCCTGGCCTCTCAGCTTTTCCTCAGTGTTGGAGCAACAGTGACAACGTGTGGCTGAATATACTCGGTGCTGGACGCTGCCCCCGTTTCCTGTTTTCCTTCTGTCATTTATCTGTAGTCTGGTTTCTTTCAGCTTGGCCTTATTCTATGTGACAGTTCTCCCTCCACTCAGCCTGCCCCCTTCTGATTCCCGGACCAGCAGCAGCAGTCGGTAAGGGACACCTGTTCTCCACTCGAGTGGGTGGACCGCATGGCAGGCGAGCAGGCCCAGGGACAGTGGGAGGGAGGCGGAGGCCGACATACTCACTCGCCCATGTAGCCCTTGGAGGTAGAGTGGAAGGAAGCAAGCTCCACGTTGCTGGAATACTCGGGCCCCATCTCGTAGAGCACCTTCTTGAAGGAGTGGAATCTGCAGTCTGGAGAGTACACATTGTCCTGGTACACCTGAGGGGAGGGTGGACAGCACCGTCACCGCAAGCCCTTCTGAGAGGCCTGAGCCAGGCAGGTGCTGCTGCATGTGGCCGGGCAGAGCTGGAGGACACGTGCACAGGTGCTCAGCGTCCACACGCAGCAGGCGGGGCCCGAGGTCCTGACCAGCCCGGCATCCAGTCCATTGCCAGGGCTGAGCGGGAGTGTGCCTGCCGGAGCCTGCACAAGGAGGGGAAGGGCCGCAGGCTGGAGGCACAGCTCGCTTCAGACAGCTGAGGAGCTCACTTCATTTCTCCCATGCTCACCGCGACCCAGTCTCCAGGTTTCTTTTTTTTTTTTAGGTTTTCGGAGACAGGGTCTTACCATGCAGTTCAGGCTGGCCTTGAACTCACAGCGATCCTCCTGCCTTAGCCTCCCGAGTGCTGGGATTACAGGCATGCACCAAGATGCCCTGCCCCAGGGCATCAGACCAGTGCTGAGACCAAGGATTCTCATTTTCCCAACAAATTTTTCCTACAACATAGCGCTTACTCCCTTTAACAACATTAAAAACGACAGCAGTTAACAAGCCCGTCCTCTGACCTCTGTATCTGACAAGTGAACCCCGTTGCATTTCCTTTAGAGCACTTACCTGGTTTGGGATTATTCTGTTTTTCTCTTTACATTTTGGCGCCAGAGCGGCACCCACACCCATTTTGTTCCTCCATCCTCAGATCTGGCACTCACAGCCCCAAGCACCCTACCCTGCCCTCTGAGAGTAACTTCCCACATGCGTTTTGAAGCTCAGGGCGGCTTTCCTGGGGCCCGTGGATCAGCCAGGTTCCACCTGTGCCAGGCCAGGCATTGTGCTACTCCTCCCCTTCCTCCCAGGCCCGGGGGTCAGGGCAGGCAGGGAGCAAGTCACAAGGAGAACTATGGGTCTCTTCACTGCTCCTTCCTTTACAAGTGAAAATTTCGGGTCCATACGTTATTCATTATGGAACAGACTGGTCAGTAAGCTGCGGGCATGTGTGGTGGTGGTTTGGGGTTGCTACACAGAAAGAAATAAAAGCACAGTAGTACACTAGAAGCTACAACTAACCAGAGACCTTGCAGAAATGAAGATGGAATGAAAGTGGAATGTGACGGTTTCTCAACTTCTTCTTGCAAAAAGTTAGCAGGCCTCAACCTCAGAAGTGGGGCTCGGAAGGTAACACACATGGGGTTAGGATCCCTGTCTCACGGGTTGTTAGGAAATTAAGTGAGACAGGAAACACGGACACACACAAGGCACAGAACTGAAGCTCGGCGGACAGCGGACATCAGTCCTTTCTGCCGCACCAGCACCCAGCCTCCGCTCCTAGGTCGAGTCCCTCAACCTATCCTCAGGAAGTGGCTCTTCCAGTCGTCCTTCTGGAGGTCTGGGAGAAAGAGGCAGGAGGCCCACATCCAATGTGCATATTGTGCCTTGCAGGCCATAGCAACGGGGCTGTGACTCAAGCTGAACCAATGAGGTATCACTGTGAGATTTCTGATAGACGATTCGGTGAGAAAAACCCTCTTACAAGGCTGGGAGGACAACAGGCCTACGTACGAGGACAACACTGAGGGATGGAAAAGGGAAGGAGAATTTGGAAGATAGGGCTTGAGTCACCTAATACGGCTGCACATCCACCGTTTCTTTTTAAGAGTGAAGTTATTTGGGTTAAATTTTTAGAGTTTATGAGTCCAAAGCAATACAAGAACAATTTAGGTCAGAGATTCACCAGTAGTACGACTGGTCACACTCATCCTTGGACAGAATCCATCCTCCAATACCTAGAAGAAAGAGCTCTCTGGCTACAGAACAATCAGGCCTGGATCCCTCCCCTAAAATAGAACGCTCACCTCCACCCCTCTCTGGGGGGCTGGGACTACTCTTACCTCATCAGCCAGGAGAAAGAGCTTCTCTTCCCAGGCAAAGTGAATCACATCTTCTATGCACTTTCTGCTTTGTACCTGGCCTAAAAATCCCCAAGAAAACCAAAATGTAGGTTGTAATGTTGTTTAAACTGTTCCCAGGTCAGAATCCCACCCGGAATCACTCAGATGTCCTGTGTTCCCTTAAGATCCCAAGAGCCCGCACTATCAGTTGCAACGCCTGATGGTGCAGTCAACCTCCAGGGAGGTCTGGAGGGTCAGTCCCCTCTCGCTGACCCACTGAAGCCAGGGATGTGGGGGAGCAGTCACACTAGCTTTCTTGTTACCCTTGAGTGGCGGGTGTGTGTATCTGTGCGGGACTGACCTGTCTGTTCTGGAGGACAGGAAGGCATGGAAGTGTCATGAAGAGGAGGAAAATGAAACTCGAGGAGTTAAATCTATCCGCTCACCCCAGCCCACCTCACTGTGTACCAGCAGTGACGGATGGGAGAAGTGCTTGGCTGATTCGATAACTGGGTGAGAGTTACTAGAGCAAAACTAGGGGTGTCTTCAACTTGTGGGAACACCTTCTCCCCAGAGAGGAACACAATCCCCAAGAGGCAGGGACAGGCTCCTGCCTCACCATCTACCCTCCAAGCTGGCACTCAGCAGCTATTCAATAAATATTTGCAGAACAACACTAAATGACAGATCTGGGGCACCCGCTTAGTATCTCCAGTCAGCTACTTCCGGAGAGCCAGGCACTGTTAAAGACCATCGTGATAAGCACCTTGCAGTTCGCCCTGGCTTAGCTGTCGTCCTTCAGGACTTCACACCAACAAGAGAAAACATCCACCACCCATTCCAGAGAAATGAGTGCAAAGAGCAAGGCAGAAATCCCAGCAGCTCACAGGAAGTATCTCGGTACAGGCAGGGAAAGGAACAAAGGCAACAAGGTGGGGATGAGACCTTCCCTCGACATTTTCTGAGACAGACTGAGTGTGGCTCCAGGAATATCTGATGCACTCACAATGCCCTCTACAAAACCACTACCACGACCAGGCTTGGTAATTTCTTTAAAAGAGCCATGTTTCGCCAGCTGTGGTGGTGCACACCTGTAATCCCAGCACTTGGGAGACTGAGGCAGGAGGATGGTTGTGAGTTCGAGACCAGTCTGGGCTACAAAGTGAGCTCAAGGGTAACCTGGACTGCATAGCGAGACCCTGTCTCAAAAAGACAAAAAAAAAAAAAAAAAAAAAAAAGCCATGTTTCTTTACTCTAAGCATACGAGCAGCTATATGTAGAAATCTAAGTTTATGTACATATGTGCATATATGTGCATATTTGTATCTTATACAAAGCAGTACACAGAATATCATGCTTTTTGCAAAAAAAAAAAAATGCCTATATTCTTGTCTATGTAAAAAATGTCTCGAAAAATATATCCATGTATCTTATAAAAGATGGTATGGTTCAGCCAGGATTTCTGTCTTGAATTATCTAAGCAATGAACCAATTTCCTCGTTTCTCTCTCTCTCTTTTTTTTGTTGCAGTCCTGGAGTTGAGCCCAGGGCCTTTGCACTGAACTATATCTCTAGCTCTTTTTAGTTTTCTTTTTGAGTCAGGGTTTTACGAAGTTTCCTAGATAGGACTCAAACTTGCAATCCTTTCACCTCACCTTTCCAGAGTGCTGCAGTTACAGGCATGTGCCACTGTGCCTGGCTTAACTCAGTTTCTTTATGAAGTGACTGACTTTTCTCTCACCAGCGGGGATTCCTATGAGCAAGCTCAGTGCAATGGGCTCTAAGAGGGCGGCAGGCGCTGGCTTTTGAAAGGAGCCAGCACTGTTCTCAGAGACAGACAGGAGCTGGCTCCCTCAGGGCAGAGTCTGCCTGCAAGTCCTCCTGGCCCTGCCCGCTCAGACCTGTCATCCCACCACTGTGTCCTGTTAGAAATCAGGCAAGGGTGTGAGCACTAGAAAGTGCAAAACCATGTTCACTAAATGCTAAGGGTAACATGCAGAGAAACCCAGGAAGGACCAGAGCCTCAGAAGGCCTTCAGCTGGCCAGAGAGAATGAGAGCCCATGGACGCGAACAGTTTTACTGAGGCACATAATGCGAACTCGAGGCCAAGGACCGAGCTTACACTCTCCAGTGCCTGGGGGACAGCAATCTCTTAGCGCACAGCTGCTGAGCTACTGAAGGGGACAAACACATCAACAGTGGTGGAGGCGAAGGGAAAATCACATGTGGGTTTAGAGCGGCCAGGAGACAGGAGTCTTGGCTTTGCTAGAGGCCCTCAAAGGCAGGAGAGGGCTTCTAAGTGCCTATCATCAGTCCCAGGCAAAGGAATTCCTCAGGAACTGGTGGGAGTAGGCGTGGCCTATGCCCCTGGAGCAGCCGCTCCTGTTGGAGTAATAGGCCACAACGGCGCTACGGAGAATTCTGGCGGAGAGCACCGGCACAGCCCTGGCCAATCAGACCTGGTTTGACTGGTGACCCAACATGGGCCAGCGAGCATCTGGTCTGGGACTTTTGGTCAACCTATGGGAGAAAGTCCCCTCTAGCGCTGAGCTGGTGGGCAATGGCTAGAGCTGATGAAGGTCAACCCCAGGACAGATCCTGCTGAGAAGGAACCCAGCACAGAGGGCGGCAGAGCTGAGAAATGCACTGAGGTTCTTCTAACAGCAGCACGGGTTCAGGCATACTGCTTTCAGCAGTCTGCACTTTATAGCACGATGATCCAATCTCCCGAGTCACGAGCTGGGTTTCTGTCTTCAAACCAAAAGAGCCCTGGCTTAATACCCCCGTGCACTTTTGACACCTTTTTAGCCAAACTGGTCACAGAGCGTCGTCTGGACAAGATACACAATCAACACAGGTGGGTTCTCAGGTTCCACTGCTCCTCTTCTAATACTCGACTGATTTTCCTATGTTAAGATCCGAAGAACAAAACCAGATTCTTTCCACTGACAAAGTTACTCTTTATACAAATGACCTACACTGATTCACATTCACGTGACCCCTTCTCCTGGCGCAGGAAAGTGTCTGGTGCAGTTATTTCGTCCAGTCAGCTAGGTGAAAAGATTTCTGCAAACACCTGGCCAAGAAAGTGCTGACTCAAGTCCATAACATGTTGTAGGACTGGCGAGTGTGGTCCTGGGACCAGCAGAAGTATCACCTGGGAGCTTATTAGAAATGCAAACCCTCAAGCCCTATCTGGTCCAATTACATCAGATTTTGTGGGGCCCAAAATCTGCACTTTCACAAGCTAACGTTTGAGAAGCACTGTGGTAAGGACGCAGTTTTCACCAGCTGCACTCACTACTGATGCCGGCCTCACCCCCAGAGTCTGAGGTACGAGCTGGCCTTTCGGATTTTTTTCAAAGTTCCCTCTGAGAGTCTACTGACAGCTGGACTGGGGCCCCAGTGCTCTGCCGGGTTCCTGCTGCTTCCCCATTAGACCCTGCGTCTCTCCTCCCCAGGCACGGGTAAGTACACCAGCCTTACTGCCAGCTGCACCCGCTTCTGCACTCAGCCATCCAAGTGGTGCTTCCAGCCGACTGAAGCATCATTTGATGTTCCCGAGAAGCAGATTCCACAATCAACTCCAACGCATTTTGGGCCAGACTCAATTCATCTCAACAAAGGAAGAGAGAGGAGCCCTTGTTCTCTGCATCCAAATAGCACGGGGGCATAGGAAGCCAGCAGCCCAGAAAGATCAAAACGGGCAGCACTGTGCATTTTTTTGAAAAGAAAAACAGGCAAAACTGGGGGTGCTTTTCAAATTCTGGAAACGGGGTTTTTGTTTTCTGGTTTGTTGTTTTCAATATGGCATTTCCCTCTTAGGACTCAAGGTACACAGCAATGTTGTGTCAAAAAAAAGCACATACCAGCATTTTGAAAACTGGTTCAGGAAAGTAAGTGGGAGTGAAAATAAGATCTAGTGGTGAGTTTCTGTGTGAATAATCTGAAGAAGCTGAGTAGCCATATTTACAGGAATGGAAAAGAAAAACTATCTTTAATAGAACCCTGTCAAGAAAATGCCTACTTTTGCTGCCTCCTGAGGCAAATCTCACGCCTCTGTTAGCAATCTGGAACTGGCATGGGAAACTGTGTGCAGAGAAGCCCTGTCTGTCATTATTTCTTAACTCTTTCGTGTCTAAATGTCAAATCCACCTCCACCTCCAAAGAAACGTGCGAGGAAGGGAAATGCAGACCTGTGGGGTTCCCTGGGTTGATGATGCAGAGCACCTTGGGGTCACAGTGGTTTCTGGCCTCCTGCATGGCCCGCCGGAGTTCGTTCACATTCAGGGCCCAGCAGTTCTCCTCGTCCAGGTAGTAATTCACCTGGATGGCGTCGAGCTCTGAGATGACCGCCGAGTAGAGGGGGTACTGCGGGATGGGGATCATCACTCCTGTCCGGGACTTGCCGCCCCCGGAGACAAGGATCTTCAGGATCGTCTGCAACCGAAAGTCACGGTCAGAAGGTCCCTGCTGCTCTCCACTCTTTAGCAGCTGATGAGCAGCGAAGTCCGGTGGCCCCGGCCCCGGCCCCAGCCCTTTACCCTGACCCTGCTGCCAGTGTCACCCAAGCAAGTGGCCTCACTTCGCAAGACGCCGTGCCCTCACCTATAAAACCACGGCCGCCGGGAGAAGTAAGCAAAACAGAATGTCTTATCGGGCTTAGCACAGTGCACTGTATACAGAGAGTAAAGACTCCATTCTTAGGTTTTTGTTTTGTTCTGTGGCACGGGGGATTGAACCCAGGGAATTCTGAGCTATAACGCCACCCCTTTTTAGATATTTTGCAGTGCTGGGGATTCAACCCAAAGCCTCACAGCTAAACTACATTTACAGCCTTTTTAAAAAAATTTGACACAGGGTCTCACTAAATTGCCCATCCTAGCCTTGAACTTGATCCCCCTGCATCAGCCTCCTGAGTAGCTGAGATTAGAGGCTTGTGCCACCATGCCCAGTCTTGTTAGCATTTTTAATACTTAAAATACATTCATCCCCAAACTACCTGTCTCAGAATTATTATGACACAACCCCTGAGACCCAGACTTAGAATCTGTCTTACCATAAGCATCATGGCTAGAAAGACAGCTAAAATGGGATGCAATACCCACCCACTGCCACCAGATGGCACTTCAACCTGCTCACTGGCTGACGGGGCGCATGTTAGTAGGATTCCTGAGAAACCAGGCTGCCGGAATCCAGTGGGGTGTCGCTGGAAGCAGCAGGAATTCGCTGAATGACCAAGCCAACCCCTTTGCAGGGAGTCTCCACTTAACACAGTACAGGTCCCTTCTCAGGAGCTGTTGCTTGTGCCAAGTCTGACTGAAAAGTGCAGTGACTTGGTTCCTCCACCGAGTCTTCTGTCTGGACACTCCCTCCCCTCCGTCAGGACTCCTGCCAGTACTGGGCCTCTCTGGGAACAGAGGGGCTTTGACAACAGAAAACAGCAGGCAATGCTGAGGCTGGGGACTGAAGTTGTACTATGAAAATCCCCAATGGTACGAGGACCGGCTCACGTCTCTGGGCCTGCTTCCCTAAGGGCTCCGGTAAGAATTTCATGATTTGAAACACTCTGGGAAAGGAATAAAGCACTCAGCAAACATCCAAACCAAGGGGCCTCTGGACTAGGAGATAAAGACAGCCCCAGTAACAAGGACCAGGAGGATGGCAAACCGCCGCCCTGACTGTACCTGGCACCACCAGGCGCTGGGGGGAGGCCTCAAAGGGATGGAGGAACAGCGCTCGCCTGACACTGCGAGGTCCCAGGCTCCAGCCCCGCCACCTAAAACAGCTGTAGCGCCCCTAAGCACAGGATTCTAGACTCCCTCAGCTGACTGAGCCTCAACAGCGGCCCCTCCTTGTCCGTGGCCAACCAGAGCCCCTGGCACCTCTTCCCTCGCCTCTGGAGGGCTCCCTCCCGCCTATGGGCTCCTCCAGCCAGAGCCGAGGCTGAGGAGTTTTAGCTGAGTGTGTCCTCTCTCGCTTCACGCCTCTGGCCCAAATCCTCAGTGTCCTCTGAGGCCCGGTAGTCACTGCCTCTCTGGCCCGCTTATGACTCCGTTTGTCCCCCTGCACCCTAACTCTCCACCGCTGGGCAGCAGCCTCGCCCGGCTCCGGGCCTCTACGGCGCCTTCCAGGTCAGACTCAGCCCTCCCCTGACTCACGCCGTCCTTTTTGCCCGCCTGACACCACCCTACCGGCTCAGCGTCTCTGTTGTCCCTCCTCTAGCACTCTGTCCTTTGCACTGCAGAAGGGAAACTAAAAACTGGTGCTGTGACCTTTTTTTTAAAGGGATGCCAAAGCTGGCATGAAGCCAGAGGCCAAATGATATGCTTGGCTCCCCTGAACCAGGCACAGCGCCTGGCAGAGGGGGACACTAGCATGCACTGAGTGACAGAAAGGCCATCAGGCACCCTGCTGTGCCCCAAGGCAGGACCTGCTGGAGGGGTCTCTGCAGGGAGACTGAGGCTGCAGTGATACCCAGGGCCCGGGAGACTGATGAGGCGAGGACTGCACGCTCCCAGGACAGAGGGACAGAGGGTGCCCTGTCGCCTCACTGGCCCTGACAGGCACGGCAGTTCTTCAGGTGAGCTCACACTGAGTAGGAAGAGGCCCCCCTCACACATACAGTGATGCCATCGCTAGCTCCAGTGGTCAGGTAGATGTTGTCCGGGTCCGCAGGCACGCCATCTCTCCTGCTGATGTAGGCAGCCACGTCCTCACGAATGCAGTTGACACCCTGGCTGGCACTGTACGACCCTGTAGGACAGCAGGCAAGACAACAAGTAGAGACAGGATGCCCGGCTCCACGGAACCAGCGTACTAACTGCATGATTAACTGGGGGAGGTCTCGGGTGGCGCCCAGCTCCTAATGCTCTGGGCCCTGGAACTGGGGGAAGCTGCTTAACCACTCTGGGCTCGGTCCTCCCATCCCAGTTCCACACACTCCCCCACCTAATATTTACTGTGTACCTATTACACTCTAAGTGCTATTCTAGACCCTGGCTTCTGACCAGGCAAGTGCTGCCCATACCTGTCCCGCCAGCACACCTGGGATGTGGACGTGGGATTCCTATGCTTTTATTCTGTCGCCTGGAAACAGCTGCACAGAACTTGAGAGGTTGGGGCAACACCAACCAGCACCAAGCACAGATCCCCGGTCCTGCTCCCTGTGCCGCCCCATGCCAAGACTATCCTTAGACCGCCGCCATTTAGGATTAAGAGCCAGGCCGCTGTTTATATGAAATTTAAAACCAGTCAGAACTAAGACTGATGGCAGTGAAAGTGAGGACAGTGGTGACTCCTTGAAGGACAGAGGTACTGGCTGGACAGGAGTACCCAGGGGCCCTCTGAGGTGCGCCACCTGGGTAGGGGTTCAGAGACGTGTGTCTACGTAAAAATTACTCAGCTATTCAGGCTGTACATTAACATTGGTACATTTTAATGTCTGCTTGCTATAGCTCCATGCAAGTTTTGTTTGCAGTGCTGGGACTGAACCCAGGGCCTCACACACCCACTAGGCCATTGGAGGCGAACCTATGGCACACATGCTGCAGCGGGCTGTTCGAAACACTGAAAGCTCTAAAAGGTTCGCCATCACTGACTAGGCACTCTACCACGGAGCCATATCGCCAGGTCAACAGTTTTTTGAAAATTCCAGGCCACTGTGTTTTTAAATGGAAATATTTAAGTTGGAAATAATGAACTTGCACATTCACAAAAGCTCTGTGAAACAAGACTCAACCATTGAGCTGAACTGTCTAAGTATACCAGGGTGCTGGGGTCAGAGGAGGGAGGTAGATTTTTTGTTACACATACACACACACATACACACACCCTTTTGAATTTCACATTTAAAGGCAATCAGCCCATTCACTGAATGTATGACTATGGCAAAACCACCACCAGGAGACAGGAAGGGGCTCTGGAGCCTCAGCACATGCACTCCAGGCCTGGCACCCAGTGAAGCACTCTGCAATGCAACAGGGCTAGTTCTGGCTCTGCCTCAGCCTCGCTATGCAGCCTTGGGCTCAGCCCTTCCCATGCGACCAGCTGTGAAACCAGGGACTAAACTGATACTAAGATGCTGTAGTGGTTGACTGATTATGTCAACTTGAGAAGTTTAGAAGCATAACTAAACTTGGCTCAGCAATTGGCTCGGCAATTCTACACCCTAGAGTGTAGAGGAGCCACCCTAGGGTGGATCCTCACCTAGATAAAATAAAAGGGAAATGAAGGACAGAGGAACTTCCATTCCTTTTGGAGGAGCTCCAGTCTTCACCTTCAGCTTGGACGTCGTCTCCTGGCTTCTAGTGCAGACTCTTTGGCTTGAGCCTTGGATCCTTCAGCCTTCCATCACAGACTCATTGGCCTCCTGGTACAGACTTGCATGGAACTCTGCAGTGAACTCCAGACCCTGGACTGATTCCTTTGGTCTTCAGTGCGCAGACACCCTCTGCACGCTTCCTCATACAACTCTCTGGCTGACCGTTGTAAGCCAGTCTTGTAATTTCTTATAATTTGCACATCCTGTGTTATATCTGTTTCTCTAGTAAAACCCTGACTGATACAGATGCCAAGTCATAAACATAAACTGGCTGGTGAGTACAGGGACTTTGTTACATGACTTTAGGTATTCTACTAAATCGGAAGTATTCTGCAAACGAAAAAGGGGTATATGTATGTATCTCTGTGTTGCAGATCTCCTCCCCCACTAGGTGATTGACTGCTTCCCGGAGCTCCCGCACTCTGAGACCTTCCAGGGCTCCTTCCCTCTGCCTTCTCACTGCCCCTTCTACGCTGTGGGTCTGGCCACACCACACAGCCAGTGCCTCCTCCTTCCCGCCCCTCAGTCCTGCCGCTTCCTTAGATTCCCAAGCCACCGGCCAGCTCTCTGCTTTGACCTCCCACCGTTTTAAGGATGCTCCAGAGATGTCCTTTTTTTTTGGCCTTCAGTGTTGGTGACCGCTACAAAGTGGCTCTGAGCAGGATTTAATATTAACCAACTGGCCTTCCATGTCCACTTGTGAATCTGTCCGAGGCCCAGGCTCCTTATCTGGAAATGGCGGACTCACAGTAAGTGAACCTCTGTGAGTCACTAATCCCTACTAGAACTTGTAATGGTGGATGAAGCCAGAATACCTCAAAGGACAAAGATCACAGCCAAGGACGCCTGGGTCAGATCTCAACTAGATGAAGACTAAACACTCAGGCATCTCATTCTTCAGTGGATTTCCTTCATACCTTACTTAGGGAAGTCCTTGAGTGGTTCTGCCCTCCCTTCTGATAACCAAATAAATACAGGCGACCCAGAGAAGGTCTTGGTCGTAGCCCTGGGAGAATCTTGAAGTCTGTGAGAGGGCTTTGATCCTCCTGGAGCCCTGAAATCATTCCATTTGCCCCTTTTTATTTTAGCCTTTGCCGTACACTCATTCAGGAGATTGCGGACCTGATCAGCCCGCAGTAACTAAGGCATAGTATTAACCCCATACTTTAGCACTTCCCATGCTGGTCCTACAAGGCTGACCTTTAGTCTGTCTCCAGGAGTCGTGTCCTAAAGATTCTGCTCCATTCCTGGCCTTTCTCCTGGGTTGGAATTTCTCTAATCCTTTTATGCATAAGAAGCCCTGCCTTCCCACCTTGCCTGTATGTCCCCTGAGGGAAGAACTCTTATCTAGTTTTTTTAATGTCCCTCTCCTCTGGGCCTAATCCCATCACACCCTACTTAGGGCCCGCTGCCAGGAATGAAAGCCAGACCGGCACCATCACTACTGCCAAACTCCCCAGCTGCACTGAATCCTGCCGTGCCCAGAACACGCCGCTGGATCACACCCCGTTTTCAAACCTTGGGGCTCTGGCACACACGGTGACCTCAGTGCAGTTGGCAGCTATTTGCACACTCTTTGTCCTCCATGTGAGCACCAGCGCTATCTCCTTTGAAGCCCCTGACATTTGGATCCCTATGTTCCTAACAGCTCTCCGTGACAACATCACATCCATTCGAATGGTCATGTCTGCTTTCCCCAAATCTGACAGTAGCTTCCCAAGCATGGCACCTCCACCTGCCTTGTTCACCAGTGTCCCTCTGTTTCTGGACAGCACCCCGCTCGTGGTGTGCGCTCAGGGAGGGGCTGGACAGAGCACTGAGGTCCTACCCCACCTAGCCAATGTGCTAGGGCTTTTTTTTTCGTCTTTTTGAGACAGGGTTTTGCTATGGAGTGCAGGCTGGCCTAAAACTTACTTTGTAGCCTATGCTGGCCTCAAACTCACAGTGATCCTCCCGCCTCAGCCTCCTTGAATGCTGGAATCACAGGCGTACACCACTACACCCAGGTAGTGTGCTACATCTTGACCTCAATCCTAAATTTAAGATCCAGAACACAGCCTAAGAACTGAATTGCTTACCAAACCAACAATAAATAAAGCCCTAGTAAGGAATCATTTTCAAGGGCATCATGAAAACATCCTGGGTGAGCCTCAAGACTTCATGTACATATTGAGTAACTCCCGTATGGGTCAGGGTGGCGCTGGAGCACAGTGCCAGGTTCTACTTCCTTTTATTTCTACATGGAAGGAGTGCTCAGGCTGCCCAAGGCCTGGTTAACGCAGAATGACCCTGCCATGTTCCCGTCATAGCGAGGACCAGGATGCCTACCCCTGCACGGGCAGGTCCTAGGGGTGCCCCACAGAAGTGGGGCTTCTGCCCTCCCAAGGGGTTCAGCACACACGTCAACCTTCCTGCAAGCTCAAAGGTGGGGATAAGCCCTTCCTTGCTCAAGAGTTGGGTGGTGGGGGTGAGCGTACACTTCCCTTGCTTGTGTTCATGTGTGCCTAGCACAGAACCCAGGGTCATAAAAACCCTAAAGGTCAGCTGGTCTCTTTCAGTAACACTCCAAAAGGGAACCCCACAGACACAGCCTCCCAACCCCACCCCAACTTTGGCTGACAGAGTTGCATGGTAGAACGAAGGTCCCCCGCCCTGTACCCCTGAGGTCACAATGGAGGTGGGGAAGCATCCCCCTCCTTTATCACCCCTTCACCGGGCTTCCTGGAGCCTTGGGACTATGGCCACCAGGTCTGCAGACGCTCCCTGTCCCCCAGGCTGAGCAGAGAGGGTAGGAGGAAGAGGACCCTGTGTCATACCTCATCCAAGATAAGGAAGCAAGGGCTGGTAGTGACTCAGCCAGGAAAGTAAGCACAGGGCCTCAAAAAAGAGACAGAGCAAAAAAATACAGGAGAGGCAGGGAGGCTGATCCCCATGAACGAGTCACAAAAGTCCCCAACTCCTGGCTCCACATCTCAGAGCACTAAGACATGTGTCCTAAGAGAGCTCTGAACAACCAGTTTCTTTACAGCGAAGGAAGCCAGATTCCCCAGTAGATACTGGGCAAGGAATGGGGAAAAAATAAACAGAAGAAAGAAAATGAGATAAGAACAAAAGGCCGAAGGCCCAGGGCTGGAAATCCATCTCAGCGGGGGTTGGGGGTATCATTTTCACATCTACAGGGGCCAAATTCCAGGACCTCCTTCCACCTCCGGCAGGCAGGCAGACAGCTGGGCCAGCTGGGCGTGAGGAGGAGAGGCTGGGGCGAGGAACACAGTGAAACGGGAGAGAAAAGGGCACAGTCAGACTAAGGAAGCCACAGGGGCGCCTGGGGGCGGGGGTCTCCAAGCACTTCCTGTCCCCAGCACTTTGCAGTCACCTCTCAGATCTGGGGGCAGCACGAGGCCGGGCACAGAGCAGAGCTGGGCAGTGCCCTCCCACCACGAAGGCCAGTCACTTGGTTACTACAAAAAGGCACAGCTGGCTTCCAGCAGCGTGCAGTCCCGTGCACCTAAGGGCCCCAATCCACCACAAGCCGGCATCTACGCCAGCAAGCTAGTCCACAGGAGGCTGTACAGCGTGGAGAAGAGAAACCCTACTTTCCTGCGCTCCACCCCACACGTATTTGCACGCTCACTCCTGCGCGTAACTCTTCACTTGGGGCCACAGCCCAGGCCCCAGGCCCACACTGGCAACACGCGTTCATTCCAAGCCCTTGGGAACCTGCAAGTTGGGCCTCACCTAGGCTGTTCCCGCCGCAAGCCTGCAGAATCCGCCGGGCGCGTTTCTTAGCGTCTTCCGGGAAGCTGGGGCTGTCCAGCAGGTTTGGGTAGGTGCAGAGGGCCATCACCTAGGAGGAAGCATTGCGGGGTGAGCTCCCAGCACCCTACCCCAGAGCTCCAGGCCATTCTCGAGAAAGAACACAGGGCTGCTGGGTAGGGGACAATCCCCCAGTGCTGCAGGGGGCCTGTCCATGGGGCCAGCATGGGGGAGGCTGCCAGGCCCTCGCTGCAGCAGGGAGACACTAAGAGCTGCAGGGCATCGTGACCTGGGCTCGGGGCACCAGCACAAGCTGCTGGAAGAGCAGCCAAGGAGCAACAGACGCTGCCTCAAAGGACTGGGCTCCGCTTGCCCACAGCGAGGACAGCGGGCCCACACGGCTGAGGTCACGAGAACCAGGGGTGTCCCCAGCAGGGAGCCGGGGCTGCCTGGGCAGGGGAAGCCCGGCTGACCAGGGCGGGCTGCAGATCCCTCCACACCCACGTTCCGAGCTCCTTTCACACCTCCTCCTCACTGCTTTCCCTGGCCTCTGAAAACCGGGACAGCGCTCTGCGTAATAGAAAATCACCTGAACCTCACGAAGGAAGATTACACAGGGTCATGTGTGGCGAAGTGCGGGCAAAACCCAGCGCACCGGGCGAGACCCAGCTGACCGCCAGGCAGCTAAGTGCGCTAAGTGGGGGGGTCCAGGCCCAGGGCACTGACAGCCTGGCTTCTCGGGGACCGGCTTTCCTCTCTCTGCACCATGGGCGGGGACACGGCCTGCCCTCTGCCAGGGGCTCTTGTGAAAACCAGCGGAGGTGCGTGAGGGCTGCGGCAGGCCAGCACTGTGCAGGAGGCTGCTCCGCGATGGCCCCAGGGCACCGGCGGGGACACGTCTTGACAGCCAGGAAAGGCAAAGTTCTGTTTGGGAGCTCCAGGCACACGTCAGGAACCTCTGCCAAGAGGCTACATCTGGCTCCAAAGCCCATGTCCGCATCACAGCCTTCTGCCCTCCCACTGCCTGCACTTTTCTGACACGGGTTTTTCTCCACTGTTCGCTTTCTTCTCTGGTTGGATCCATTTCCCCATCCGGGCCCAGCCCGGAGATCTGATATCCACATGCAGCAGGCATTCTCTGCGGGTCAACAGTGTGGCCGTGACACTCCTCAGACCGGTCACCTCTCACAGGGCCGCCGGAGACCTCTGCCCCAGACAGCAGGCTCGCTCCTCTTTCACAGCAAAGCTCCACTTCCTGGCCTGGCCCAGCCTGAGAACCTGAACCTCACAAAACCGTCCCTCCTCAGAGAAAGCTGTCTGCAGCCGGCTCTCCCACCTCTGCTCAGGCCGCCCTGCGGTGTCCTCCCGACTGGCCTCTGTGGCCCACCGATGTCGCAGTTTTGGCCCGTGCAGCAGACTTCCCCAGGCTGAGACTCTGACACTGCCTCCTCCTAGAGCCATTACAGTCAAAGTGGCTGCCAGGAGACAGCAGGGGGCAATGTGCCACGCCTGCACGTTCCTGCGGGGCCGAGGAGGCACCCTCCAAGCCAGTCTCTAGTGATGTCCACTGCCCAAGGCCACCCTCAAACCCAGATGTCCCACTCACCCAGCCCACGGGGCTGTACCTCTCCTCCCGGTTGCTGCCTACCCAAAGGACACCTCTGTTTACCAAAGCCCTAAGTCAACATCCAGGATCGTGTACTGAGAGCCTTCCTGGGAGTTTCCTAAACCACAGCAACCCCCAAAGAGGTTCAGATACGTGCAAGTTTTTTGTTTTGTTTGCAGTGTTGGGAATTGAACCCAGGGCCTCAAGCATGTGAGGCAAGGACTCTACTACTGAGCCACACCCCAATTCTATTGATTTATTTAACTCTGAAATAGGGTTTCACTAAATTTCCCAAGCTGGCCTTGAACTTTCTATCTTACTGCTTCAGTTTCCTGACACATGGGATGACAGGCTTGTACTAGTAGACCCAGAGACTTAGGAATTTTTGACAGCTTTGGAAGGAGAGGAGCTAAGAGACAGAACCTAGCCATTTCAGGCACTGGTAGGGGCTGCTACTTCAAAAGGCACCTCCTTCAGGGACTCTGGTATCTGCTATGCCCCAAGAGGGCTGGATGGACAAGGAGACAGAGGCTACCCCATAAGCCATGCTGGCTCCTCCCAGCCTCCAATTCCCTGCTTTCCCAGCAGCCTCTGCTCCCAAGGGCTGGCTTACCTGTCGGAGGAAGGTGATTGGCTGCTGGCCCATAGCCTGGGCATCCCCGATGTTGGCTCGAATGACCTCAGTGAATGGTTTTTTGATACCCTGAGCAGAGAGAAGGCAACAGATGGTTACTTAGATACTCTCATCCTGGGATTCCTGGGACCAAGCAGTGTCCCCACAGGATATTAATACGTTGTCCTATTTTGAGCCTTACTGAGTGTCGAGCACAACGCCAAGGCCTTGACACAGCTGGTCTCATTTAACCTTCACAAGCACCTCGTGAGGGAGAGCTGGTATTCATCTCATTGTACAGCGGAAGAAACTGTGGTTCCATAAAGCTAAGAAATTTGTCCAATGTTATATAATAAAATACAAGTACTGGATCTGAACCCAAGAAGCACAACCCCAAGATTATTTTTCAGTACTACGCTCCACTGGATCTCACCTTCTGGAAAGGATGGGAGAGCTTTCCTGGATGCTGGAGGTCCACGGCCTGTCACATCACAGGACTGTCTTAAAAATGGCTCTGGAGCCAACATGGTGGGAGGAGGCAGGGGTCCGCCACAAAGCATGCCAAATGTCAGGCGGGGGCCGCAGACACACCTGCACCTTGATCCCAAGCGTGGCTCCATTAAACAGTTTCTGTAAGCAACCAGGGACGCCAAGAACACCGTCCCCTGCAGGGAACTCTGAGGGCTATTCCCTTAACATGTGGCATATGGGCTGACTTTCACTTTTTTTCTTTTAAAGCAGCCGGGATGAAAGATGGAAGAGAAAAATTGAGGCCACTGCCTGACCAAGGTGTTTAGCACGGAAAAGAGGTCGCAGAGAACTCTGACCCTTAATCGTCTCTAGGGAGGTGGCTAAGACACCTCAGCTGCTGCAGAGGTGAAGACATAGTCTGACACAGAGAACTGCGGAGACGTAGAAAATGGTAATTCTGCACAGCCTCCTAATAAATCTAGTCAGCCACTGGAAGAACGGGAATCAACAAGTTCAAAGCCCTCTCATGGGTCTGAAAGGATAATCGGAGATAAACAGCATGAAAGCGCCTTGTAAAGTATAAAAATATCATCACCCTACAAAGCTGGCCCAGGAGTGAGGCCCTGAGTCATGGTGGCAGGAGAAAGGGCAGGGTGGCAGTGCCAGGGGTGGCCCCGGTCACCTTCCCACTGTCATGCACCACTTCCAAAAAGGCACCCTACATACAAATTTTAAAGATATGATTCTATGGCTTTGACATCTGCTCTTTTCCACATCTACCGCAACGTGTGAGTAAAACCAACTTTAGAAAGCTGCTCTTCAGAAATCAGTAATTTACAACTTCAGTAATAACAATTAGGCCCGAGCAACAAAAGCAGCTGCCGAACAAGTTCTCATCCTCATTTGCAACCAGAAAGAGCCTTGGATCTTTGAAACAGGGTCTGTAAAAGCCATGTATCTTGGGGGAAAGGCGGCCCTGTAGGGCCCTTGGCCTTTTTCCCGGAGCTCTTCAGCGGTGGTCAACATGGAGAAAGATCCCCAGGACATCAACAAGCAGCCCAAACGCCTAGAGAGCCGAAGGTGGCGGCAGCACTGCCCAGCGCACCAGGGCTGGGCTGGGGCAAGCGCAGGCACCCTGGAGACTTGGCGTGGGCATCAGCCCCCAGGGCTCATCCCACAGGCAGAGCCTGGAAGGCTGGCAGTGGGGCAGTTACTTCAGTTGCTATGGCAAAGGGGCAGGCTTAACTCACCCCTGACATTGGCCTGGCCCCTGGTGCAGGACCCCAGTCAGTGTGACTGAGTTATCTCAGCTCCCAGGGTTACAGCTTGGGGAACACAGGTCATTTCGGTGGTATACGCAGAGCCCACTCTTCACTAAAGAGCAGATCTGTCAGTTGTGAGGGCCAGAAACCAACGCACAGCTGCAGGATCCGGGCCCTAGGCCAGCCTAGGGAGAGAAGAATGCCCGGAACAGAGCTCTGGATATTCCTTTCTTGTGCCCTCCCGCTGGCACTGTTCAGCCAACTCAGGGGCTGCCGACACGGAGCCTGGGAACACTGAACATCGCCTTTCTTGAGTCTTGGTGTCCACAGACATTGGACACTTTGCATGATGGATGAGCTGGGTGGACAGGAAACTGGCTCCCCTGAATGGGCAAGGGGACCAGCCTTCCAAGCCAAGAGCAACCATACAGAAGCAACTGTTCTGGGCAGACTCTGGCATTTGGGCATGCAGGGTCTACATGCCCTGGGAAACACCAGGGAATCCTGGGCAGACTCCCGCCATAGCTCATCCAGGCCTGGAAGGTGCATCTAAAGCAGAATTTTAGAAAAAGCCAACTCTCTGCTCAGAAATCTTCCCCAACCCCAACCCTCTGACACCACTCCCCAGGAATGCGGTCCTAAGTTCTCCTTAGTGATAAGGGAGGTGTCCTAAGCTGCCCATCCTCGGGCATCTCCCCTCTCAGGAAGGCAGCATCCCGAGCTGGAGCTGATAAAACCGACAACTACGGGCTGTAAACAAGTTTTAGAGCACTCTAACATCCTGGGAGCACGGGACTCTGGTTTCTCTTCAAGGCTAAGATAAGGAGGTGACACGGGAATGACGGACTTTGTCTTGCTTTGTAACTTCTGTCTGTTTGTGCCACAAGAGATACAAAAGAAAGCTCCCGCCTTTGTGTGGTGCTCAGCCTTGGAACATGAGTTTGCTCAGCTAACATGCGCCTTAACCAAGAGAATCCTGTTTCATCCAGGATCTCACTAGGTTCTTGGGCTTCCTGCAACACATCCAGGGCTGACACTGTCCCAGGCTCCCCCCGGCCCCCAGGACTAACAAGCGTGTAGCGTCCTGGTTTCCTCTCAAAGCACAGCAGAGAGCACTTGTCTGATCCCTCTCCACACAGCCTTAGAGCCACCTCCCTGGGCTGCACTGAGCGAGTCCCGTGCCCACCACCGCAGCTTGCAGAAGGGCCATGGGAGTGGGCCTCCAAGCTCTGGGGGACGGCATAGTGCAGAGGGTACTAGTGAGAAGAAAAAGATTTACAACATACAAATGAAAATAAGGTGAGTGTTTAAATTAAAAAAAAAAAACAACTTGCAGTGAAAGACATTTTGCTATTTTTTCTTCTCTTTTGAACACACTTATACCATCACTGTCGCCACTTTCTGAAGCAGTTCTGTGAGTCCTCTTTCCTGAGTGTCTGTATGAGGTTATGGTGAACGCTGCTGCCAAGGGCCATCCAGTGGAAAAGTAGCCTTGTAAAAACATACAGTGTGTCCTCCTCTAACTTATTCACTGGATATGCAATCATGTGACTTTCGGCTCTTCTCTAAAGTCAAAATGACCAGGAAAGGTCAATGTTATAGTTCTGTGTTGTAGTTTATTTTTTGAGACAGGGTCTTGCCATGGAGTTCAAGCTGGTCATGAACTATGTAGCCCAGGCTGGCCTTCAACTTGCAGTGGTCCTCCTGCCTCAGCTTCTCGAGTGCCGAGATTACGAGGCATACAGCACCAAGCCCAGCTTTCTTCTTTTTTGAGTGTCTTCAGTTACAGTAAGTTAAGAGGCCAGCTTGGGCTACACTGTGAGTTTAAGGCCAACCTGAATTAGAGTGAGACATTCTCTCAAAAAACCTTGGAAAAAAAGACTTCCAGAACTGCCTTAGAAAATGGCAAGGATGATGGAATGTGTGCTCAAAGACAGGAGGAGTACTTTGAGAGGTATTAATGGCAATGCATCTTTTACTGTCATAAATTTTTACAACTTTCACCACATGTTCCAATCATATGTTGCAGCATGGTTCTTTCCAGCCCACAGGTCCAGCAGCAGGGAGGTCAGGAGGCTAATATGAGTCTAACAGGCACAAGGCATGGTCAAGAAAATAATCCCCAAAACAAAAAGGCAACCTACGGAAGGGGAATATTTGAAAAATATGTCTGATAATGAGTTAATATCCAGAAGAGATAAGGAACTCAACTGAGCAACAACAACAAGCCGGGCGTGGTGGCGCACCCCTGTAATCCCAGCACTCGGGAGGCTGAGGCAGGAGGATCATGGCAAATTCAAGGCCAGCTTGGGCTACAAAGTGAACTCGAGGCCAGCCTGAACTGCATAGTGAGACCCTGTCTCAAAAAGACCAAAAACAAAACAAATCGCAATTAACAACAAAACAAAAAGCAGGCTAAGGATCTGAAGAGACATTTTTACAAAGACATTAACTCGGCTAACAGGTATCTGAAAAAGATGTACACCACCACCAATCAAGTGCAAATCAGAGTCACACAAGGAGATCATCGCATACTTCTTAGGAAGGGACAATGAAAACCTCAAAATTCAGTACCGGAGCGGGTGTGGAAACAAGGGAGCCCTTGCACGCTGTTGGTGGGAACACAAACTGGTTCAGCTGTTACGGAAAGCATTGTGGAGGCGGCCCAGTAAATTAAAAATAGACCCACTGCATGATCCAGCAATCCCACTTCTGGGTACATATCCAAAGGAAGTAAAATCAGTTTCTCAAAGGAATATACACTCTGATGTTTACTGCGGCGTTATCCACAGTGGTCAAAATATAGACTCGATCTAAGTGTCTGTTAACAAATGAACATACGAAGATGTCACGGTACGTATTTACCCAAGGCAGTGCTATTCAGTCATGAAAAAGAGGGAAATCCTGCCGTGTGAGACAACACAGATGCACCTGGAGGACAGTACGCTAAATAAGCTAGACACAGACATACCTGGTATGATGTTACTTATATGTGAAATCTAAACAAGTTGAACTCAGAGAGGTGTCTGCCACGGTCAAAGGATACAACTTTCAGGTCTGAGTAGGTACTAGGACTCTAATGTACAGCACGGTAATTATAGTTAATAATATAATGTTTACTTCAAAGAAAGTAGATTTTAAATGTCTTCAGCCTCCTGCAACAAAAGTAACCATGTGTGATGACGGCTGTGTAAATACACTGAGTGTAGTAATAATTTCACAGTGTATACATATACCAAACCATCACCCTGTACACCCTGAATATACACAATTTTTATTTGTCAATTATACCTCAATAAAGCTAGGGGAGAAACAGGAACAAGACCGTTTCCTTGTGCAAGGAATGGGACATTGGGC